TCTGAACCCAATTTCTACCAATTCTAGTTCATTAATAATAGATTAATTCAACTTTAGCGTATTGCTGAGGGCCTTGTAAAGAATAGTATTTTGTCGTTCAAACCGAGCTCCCTTGTACACTTTTGGCAGCACGTTTAAGATCCCATGAGAGTTGGAAATTGAACTAATTGTACTTTTCTGCACCAGCCGGGCATATGTAATAGCATACTGCAAGGTGTATGCCTGTTTGGTGCCAAAAAGTACTTCATGTCGTTAATACGTTTTTCACTTCTTTTAAATTTTTATGTTCTATGTTTTTCAGATATAATGTGTTTGGGTACACAGTTTGTGAGTCCAACCACTTTAAAGCTTACTTTAAAAGGGATGAACGATGGTTTTGTTATAATGGACTTTCAAAACCGGAGATCCAATTAGTAGGACAGACCATTACCATCAATGGATATATGGAACACGTAATTGTTGTCATCAAAGACGTTCATATCTAAGTTCGTCGCCATTGTGTTTGAGAGATTAAAAGGTCTTATCATTTCGGTGTTAGTTTTAGTGAGAAGTTCTCACGATGTTACTTTCTCTTTTGCCATTGCCTTAAATGATGATAGATCAGTATGCACCGTTTTTAACAAAGCAAAATCAACATAAACATGTTCATGTTTTGATAAAAAAAAAATGGAGAAAAAAAACCCTGTACTTTCCAAAAATAGAAAATATTGTTACATTAGATATTGTTCGTTAATACCTGTGATATATTATGTTTAATTACAAGAACAATTAGTTGAATATGTATACGGTAGTATTAATTTTACATAAAATTAGTTTGCTAAAGATATATACGTGTTTTTAATCTTCTTATACGCTGGTGTTTACATGCCTCGGTGAGTATTCGATCCCTGTGATCACCTAGAAGGTTCATCGAGATTTTCCGGAGTGGTTCCATTGTCAGTGATGCACAGGACGGGGTTGTCCCTCGTTATTGGCTATTCGTTATTCACCGCTTGAATAACAATCTGGTTTATTTACCGACTATACGCCATTTAATTAGTTTTCTACTGCTAGGGGATACTTTGCAATACATTATTCTATTGTTGTCTAGAGATCGTTTTGAATTAAATTATGAAATATCCCCATTAAAGATGAATGAACACCTACATATGTGAATCCGGAATAACGAGGTGAAAAACGAATAACAAACAGCTCGTTATTCGTTGCTTGAATAACAATCTCGGCTGTTGTTCGTCTAGAAGTCGTTTTGCTGTCTTTTATAGTACTGGGAGATACTTGGCATCCATCATTCTAGTCATGGCTAGCTGCATATCTCAATCCCGAATAACTAGTTGAATAACGAATAACGAGGAGGCTTGTACCTCGTTATTGACGAATAATGAGGTTGGCTACCCTCGTTATGTGAATCCGGAATAACGAAGTGAAAAACGAATAACAACCAGCTCGTTATTCGTTGCTTGAATAACAATGTCGGCTGTTGTTCGTCTAGAAGTCGTTTTGCTGTCTTTTATAGTACTGAGAGATACTTGGCATCCATCATTCTAGTCATGGCTAGCTGCATATCTCAATCCCGAATAACTAGTTGAATAACGAATAACGAGGAGGCTTGTACCTCGTTATTGACGAATAATGAGGTTGGCTACCCTCTTTATGTGAATCCGGAATAACGAAGTGAAAAACGAATAACCAACAGCTCGTTATTCGTTGCTTGAAGAACAATGTGGGCTGTTGTTCGTCTTGAAGTAGTTTTGCTGTCTTTTATAGTACTGAGAGATACTTGGCATCCATCATTCTAGTCATGGCTAGCTGCATATCTCAATCCCGAATAACTAGTTGAATAACGAATAACGAGGAGGCTTGTACCTCGTTATTGACGAATAATGAGGTTGGCTACCCTCTTTATGTGAATCCGGAATAACGAAGTGAAAAACGAATAACCAACAGCTCGTTATTCGTTGCTTGAAGAACAATGTGGGCTGTTGTTCGTCTTGAAGTAGTTTTGCTGTCTTTTATAGTACTGGGAGATACTTGGCATCCATCATTTTAGTCATGGCTAGCTGCATATCTCAATCCCGAATAACTAGTTGAATAACGAGGAGACTTGTACCTCGTTATTGACGAATAATGAGGCCGGCTACCCTCGTTATTCGTTATTCACCGCTTGAAAAACAATCTGGTTTATTTACCGACTATACGTCATTTAATATGTTTTCTACTGCCAGGGGATACTTTGCAATCCATTATTATATTGTTGTCTAGTGATCGTTTAGAATTAAATCCTGAAATATCCTCATTAAAGATACATGAACACCTTCCTATGTGAATCCCGAATAACGAGGTGAATAACGAATAACAAACAGCTCGTTATTCGTTATTCACCGCTTGAATAACAATCTGGTTTATTTACCGACTATACGTCATTTAATATGTTTTCTACTGCTAGGGGATACTTTGCAATCCATTATTCTATTGTTTCCTAATGATCTTTAAGAATTAAATCCTGAAATATCTTAATTAAAGATACATGAACACCTTATATGTGAATCCCGAATAACGAGGTGAAAAACGAATAACAAACTGCTCGTTATTCGTTATTCACCGCTTGAATAACAATCTGGTTTATTTACCGACTATACGTCATTTAATATGTTTTCTACTGCTAGGGGATACTTTGCAATCCATTATTCTATTGTTTCCTAATGATCTTTAAGAATTAAATCCTGAAATATCTTAATTAAAGATACATGAAGACATTATATGTGAATCCCGAATAACGAGGTGAACAACGGATAACAAACTGCTCGTTATTCGTTATTCACCGCTTGAATAACAATCTGGTTTATTTACCGACTATACGTCATTTAATATGTTTTCTATTGCTAGGGGATACTTTGCAATCCATTATTCTATTCTTCTCTAATGATCGTTTAGAATTAAATCCTGAAATATCTTCATTAAAGATACATGAACACTTTATATGTGAATCCCGAATAACGAGGTGAAAAACGAATAACAAACAGCTCGTTATTCGTTATTCACCGCTTGAATAACAATCTGGTTTATTTACCGACTATACGTCATTTAATATGTTTTCTATTGCTAGGGGATACTTTGCAATCCATTATTCTATTGTTTCCTAATGATCTTTAAGAATTAAATCCTGAAATATCTTCATTAATGATACATGAACACATTATATGTGAATCCCGAAAAACGAGGTGAAAAACGAATAACAAACAGCTCGTTATTCGTTATTCGCCACTTGAATAACAATCTGGTTTATTTACCGACTATACGTCATTTAATATGTTTTCTATTGCTAGGGGATACTTTGCAATCCATTATTCTATTGTTTCCTAATGATCTTTAAGAATTAAATCCTGAAATATCTTCATCAATGATACATGAACACCTTCAGATGTGAATCCCGAATAACGAGGTGAAAAACGAATAACAAACAGCTCGTTATTCGTTATTCGTTATTTACCACTTGAATAACAATCTGGTTTATTTACCGACTATACGAGGTGAAAAACGAATAACAAACAGCTCATTATTCGTTATTCACCGATTGAATAACAATCTGGTTTATATATCGACTTTACGTCATTTAATATGTTTTCTACTGCTAGGGGATACTTTGCAATCAATCATTCTATTGTTGCCTAATGATCTTTTCAAATTTAATCCTGAAATATCTTTATATCTGCTTAAATGACAATGTGGACTGTTTTTCGTCTAGGGGTCGTTTTGCTGTGTTTTATACTACTGGGGGATACTTGGCATCCATCATTCTAGCCATGGCTAGCTGCATATTGGAATCCCGAATATAAAATTGAATAACGAATGACTATTCGTCATTTAATAAGTTTTCTACTGCTAGGGGATTATAAATCCTGAAATATCTTCATTAAAGATCGATGAACACCGTCATATGTGAATCCCGAATAACGAGGTGAAAAACGAACAGCTCTTTATTTGCTGCTTAAAATAACAATATGGACTGTTTTTCGTCTAGAGTTCGTTTTGCTGTGTTTTATACTACTGGGGGATACTTGACATCCATCATTCTAGTCATGGCTAGCTGCATATTGGAATCCCGAATATAAAACTGAATAACGAATAACGAGGTAGCTTGTACCTCGTTATTCGCCAGTAACGAGGTAAGTCGCCTCGTTATTCGTTATTCGTTATTGGTGAATAACGAATAACGAATAACGAGGTAGCTTGTACCTCGTTATTCGCCAATAACGAGGTAAGTCACCTCGTTATTCGTTATTGGTGAATAACGAATAACGAAAAACGATTCAGCCTAAAAGCTTTACCTAAAACAAAAGATGCAAAAATATGGCTTACCCCAACCTAAAATTTTCAACCATGAAGAAGACAATAGTTTGTGCAGGTGATTTGTGCAGGTGAGTAAAGCTCTAGGCTTTATAGTAGTAGACGCAGGTCATATAATTTACTCACCTGCACAAACTATTGTCTTCTTCATGGTTGAAAATTTCAGGTTGGGGTAAGTCATCTTTTTGCATCTTTTGTTTTAGAGTAAAGCTTTAGTAGTAGACGCAGTTCATATAACTATTTACAGGCTTACCTGATCAGACATTTTGCAATCTTCAATAATTTGGTATACTGTTAGGAAACAATAGAGTAATCAGTGAAGTGTGTGTAGAGAATAAGGCCGGATGTGTACAGCTAGCTGACAAGAAACAAACTGGAAGTGAGATCGGCGAACCTTTCCAGGCCATAAGCCTCCATGTCCGCCATATTTATTTCACAAATTGGAAACAAGTATGGCGGCTTGGGGGTGTTAACTTTTTTTTTATTTAATTATTTCGGTATTTTTGTAACCGGAGTTTAGCTTTAAGTGATCGATACTAAAAAAAGCAAACATTTAAAAATAATTGTAAAAATAATTTATACTTTTATAAATATATCTTGAATGGCTTCTGAGATATGCCTTGGAATAATGAAAGTAAAATTATTCAACTGCCAATTTACCAATTGTCATAAAGATATATTAAACGCTTTATGAGATTTTGTCTAGAAAAGTAATAGTAAAACCAATAACATAGTAAAATTTGATTCCATATAAACTGTAAAATTATTCAACGCAGATATTTCGACTTGGCAAACGACATAATTTGACGGGCGTACAAAGTTTCATAAATATATCGGGCAGTTTTATCATATAATCTCCATAATAAAAACTGATCTAACTACAAACTAAATCAGGTGTTAGTGTCCAAGACCCTCCAATTGTGAACTAAAAACGTGGTGATTTTACAATAGAAACATCCTTTACGTTTACAGAAATAGAATATTTTATCCAACTAAAAGAGATTCTGGTTAAAACAAACATATTAATGACTCATTGTCAAAACATTACATACATCTGTACTTACTATCGTTTATTGACCTTACGCCAAAACGGAAATCTCATTGTCACATGATCGTATTATAAAATCATTCTACAACTAAAGTTAACGCACATTACAAAATTAATTCTGATACCTACATAATACATTTCAAAATATAAATTATATTACCCAGAAGGTGACAAAGATATCACTTCTCCCATATCGCAAATACCACCATCACTGATACTACTAATGGGTTTTTTCTTTCGTATTACAATTACTACTATCATGGTTACTACTACATGGTTCTTTTTCATTACATTGAAGAGGGATAGGAGCATTTTGTCTATTGCGTACTACAAGAATCGTCGTCAGTATAAAGATTATTACTAGTACTGGAATTATAACAGCCACGACAATAATTGGACTGGAGTTTGTAGATGACACGATCTTGTCACGTGGTTTGGTTACATTAGTAATAGCCGTATAGTTGTCGTGGTTTAAATCTATATAAATATAACAAATAATGTATTTTAAAAGTGACTTTCGGAATACAACATTCTGGGATTATTACCGACATATCTGAGAGGTAGGTGTGAGGAGTATTAGATCATAAGGTCTGTTATTGATTCAAGTTGTGTGATTTCGATTCCCGGCTAGTACGTGACAAGGAGTAGGATTGTCAGTCCAATCTCGTATATTTTCTCCAAGTCCTCCAGCTTCCCCAACTGCTAAAGACCCCTAGCAAAAGATAATTTAAAATTGAACCATATGTTAGTTCCAAAATGACCTAGTTTGTGTCGAGTGGGCGTTAAACTTCATGTCGCTATGAAACGTCAGCAATAACCGACGACAAACCATATGAAGCTAAAACTGTATGTGTGACACTGTATGTGTCTACACGTCATTCTGGACAGATGTTTCTACACGTCATTCTGCACAGAGATCTATTCTCAAAGTAGAACGATCGATGTGTGCAGAATGGCGACACGCCTCCAAATATATTATGCCATTTCGAGACAAAATTAATCAAATCACAAAATAAAAACAACAAGCCAACAGTGAGGCTGATGTCCCCCGCCGAAATCCGCAAATAAATAGATGCCACATATTAATTAATCGCACATCTATTTTTTTCCAGTATCGAGCAATCAAACTGTTTATCAACTATACACTAAATTTCATCACTCTCTATCAGACAGAATCAAAGTTATATTGTCCCAAAGCATCGACCAAGGAAATTGCTTATCTCTGCTTAGCTTGAGATCGATATGTTAATCATTGAACTCAGTCAAGACGAACATCTACATCAAGTTTAAACATTCTACCTCAATTAGAAGCAGTGTGAACATTTTAGCTCAATTAGAAGGAGAGTTATTGTGTTCCGAAGTCTCGGCCAATCAAATTGCTTATCGCTCTGCTTACCCTGAGCGGAAAATGCTCATCATCGAACTTAATCAAGGTACTGATGTAATAAAACTATACACCAAGTTTCATCACTCTCACTTAATTAGAACTAAAGTTATCGTGTCCCAAAGCATCAATCAATCAAATTGCTTATCTCTGCTTACACTAAGCAGAAAATGCTCATCTTCGAACTCCATCAACGCATTGACCTAATATACACCCACACCAAGTTTGAACATTCTAGGTCAATTAGAAGGAGAGTTATTGTGTCCCAAAAAGTGTGACGGACAGACAGACGGACGGACAGGCAGGCGGACAGACAGACAGACGGACGAACCCATTTTAATAGTCCCCTGCTTTCTTCAAAAGGCCGGGGACAAATATCACAAACATACAATTAACAATTGAAAGAACATTTTCTGTTCATTAAGCCAGGGACATAAATTGTGACTAAAATCAACCCAAGGCTGTAATTTGTGACGTCACTTAAAAAGTAAATATAGAAATGTTTATAATATTTACCATCGACATCGTTAAGTTGCAATCGACACTGACAAAAGTGGCCATCACCTGGTATCACTCTACATATGTATGTTAAATTAAAGTCACTTTCGGATGTATCAATTAAAACAAGAGTTATCTGCCTTCTGTCATCAGCCACCTCTGTTATATTAAATACCAGTCTGCCTTTAAATAATGGTTCGGGTACAAATTTATTCTGATACCAATACCCCAGATCGTCTTCCTATTAAAGACATAAAATACATGATGTCATCGACTGATATTTACATTTTCGAAGCAACGGTAACAATGTCTTGGTGGGCTTGCCAACTAATCAGCATAGTAGATACATCTCCTGAATTATTGACATAAAATGGAACCATTTGTTAGTCCCGAATAAAATATCCTAGAGTGTCTATTTTAGAGAAGAATATTCTCCGAAAATAGGGTTGGAACCAAAGGAAAATAGTAGCCATTGATTAAATTGTTTGGCTTAGATTTGTATTTGGCTATAAATGAATAACAGGCACTACTCACCTCTTTTCCAGTGCTATCGATCCTCGATATTATAACTGCTATAATCGGGTAACGATATTGATACATCCAGGTAAATATTGATCTGTTTATATCAACTTCTATCCCTTCACCTTTACATGCTGATCCTGGAATTTAAGAGGGTAGACCAGTGTTTTTCATCCATTCATTTGGATGCATTTTTCACCAGTAAATGTTGCAACTAGTTTAGTACAGGTGAATATTTATTATGTAGAATATGGATCCCATAAAATTATTATATCTCGATAGCCATGAAGTTGTTATGTCCCGATAGGTTTAAAGTTCATACAATGCATTACAAGACCTCATCGGCACTATGTATGCAATCTATTTTCTGCTGCGTTCTGAATTCAAGCAAGTTCGGTAAAATGATGGGTTGGTTCTGTGATAATAAAAATGTTGAAGACGTAGAAAAATATATTTGGTTTAATTTTGTAAAAGATGTCAATGTTACAATATGAAGGGGGTTGAAATATATGTAGTAACACTGGAATGTTGAACAGATACTATAACTATATTCTCAATTATAAAATTTAAATCTTACTTTCAGCCAACAGTCCAACACCTTGTTTGTAAGAGATGTGATCATCATAGAAGACATGACAGTAGTAGATTTTATCAAAATCATCATTAACTGTTTCTTGTAATTGGAGACTGATCCTTTCTCCACCCCCGTTGTTTATTGATACTGTATTTAGTATCAGTTCAGTTGAAACATCTACATTGTTTTGTTTGAAACCTTTCTCGATCGTCCATTTACCAATATCTATAGTCTGTATAACGAACATAAAACACAATCAGAAGTTAGATAAATTGGTGCTGTCTTATTTATCAGATTCAGATACAATTCAAACATAGAATATTTTGACCCAGTCGATCAATTGGAGGGTTACGGAATTAGCGCGAACATAGGGAATCAGTTATTGTTAGCGGCTGCAGTAGAGAGGGGTAACAACGCCACAGACGACCCATAGTGTTGTGAGGGTATCAGTTGAAAGTCGATTACTCATAACCAATTCTAAAACTGGTGAACGGAACTGACCTTTAATAAATAATATCTACATTTTTATATAGCATGTAATTGTTAAAATGCGGGTTGAAAATCTTTTGTATACTTCTAGCATAAAGGTTATGGCTTTTAAAATTAGATAGAACTAACTTTATTCTAATACAGTTTTCTGTAAGCTAATAAACTCGGTTGTATACCCCAACTGGGATATCTATCATACAGATCCAGGTTTAATCCCGACCGGTCATATTCTGATACACGATATGGAAACTGAGTATCGATTGACATAATAAAATTTGATCTTACATGATTGGTTATTTGATGTTTTCGACTGAGGATGATTTTGTTGATCGATTTAGTGGTTTTATATTCCCAGTATAGTTCCACATCTTGGCGAAGAGTTGAACTTACAGGTTTTCGAGTTGTTGACATCCAAGTGAAATCTGAATTTAATCGTAACGTATTACAAGGTATTGCTTTCTGGGAACATTGTTTTGATCAAGGTAATATATAAAAGATTTAAGTTTAATGGGATGAGGAGGTGAGAGTAACTTGCTACTTTTCTACACGAACCTAGGCTAATGCAGACGGGAATACGAGGTTATGTAGTGTCCTATGTTGGGACAGGGAATTTTTGGGCTAATCTTTATCGAATTCGAACCGCCTGGAAGAACGGCTTTCTGTCCCACCGAACAGCTAGACGTTGTTCTATGCCAGGCTTCTCATCCTACACCAGTGTCAAGTGGAACCACGCTAGCAAATCCCGCGAGACTAGTTAAAGAACTATACCAGATTTAAATATCGGTTTTAGAGTTGCAATTCTATTAATGTCAAATCAAGATGAAATCCCTAAAATATACCAAACCTTCTTCCTCGATCGCATCACCGAAGATATAACAATTGTAATTATGTTGGTTTAGACATTCATTTGATTATTGGAAAGCTATATTCGATTTCACACAATTTACCTGCCAAACTGATATTGATGTCTTTGTATTCTCCTGGTTGGTTGTTTAGATAACATCTATACACACCATAATCGTTATCTGATATATCATGAACAAGAAAGGTTATCTTGATCTGTCCATCTGTTCTCGCCACTTGTAGCTCATACTTTACACCATCGATCCGATGCTCTTTAAATCTACCGTCTTGATTCTATAATAAAAATAAAACTTAATATCTATTCTGTTTTCGCCTACCCTCGGTATCCACAGTGGTATCATTCCGTTTTACTCTAGTTAGTGATATAGAACGGAATTATACCACTAGAGATATCATACCAAGGATGTTTTTTGGCTCTGTGGTAAAATAATGTAAATATACTGTACCCGGAACTGAATTATTGGTTTGATCTCGGCATCGTCCGTTCTAAATAACCAGTTAAGTTGAACCGAACTACCCAGTGTTGTCACTGTTTGTTCAGAAGATGCAGCTAGAAAACAAACATAACACCAGAATAATAAAATATATATTTCTATTCAAACCCAGATATTCTGGAGATTATGATGCTTCGCAATGCCACAACGTCTTCCAGTAGGAGTGCAGATATTAATAACGGTTCTATTCGTGTATTCGGCTGGGATATATGTTATGTTTTCCATTCTTGAGTTTAACGTTTTCTATAACAAAGAACAATTACCTGTGCAATAAGAGTTATTTAAGAGCAAACCTGAAACAGAAATTGAAAGGAATGTAGTTTTGGTGCGGAAGCATTTATTTTGACAGGAGCTCAGTCCAAATTAGTACCATATCAGCGATTTTGACACCAAATACTAGCCTAATTTGATAACTGCATTTGATAACCAGGCCCGAGCGGAATTGTATTCTAGCCTCGAGATGTTTGTAGCCAAAAAGAGTTGTATTTTGTACCGTGGCCTGTGTTTTCAAGTTTTAAACCCCTACTATAACTGTTTATCTGGTTTTGCTAATACCAAATGTAATTACCCTGTCACTGATGTAATCATTTTAAATAAACATGTAATGGCAAAACATATATGGGATGTTTGCTCGGAGAAAAGTATTATATTTTTGCTTTATTTGGAGATATTTCAAGGACATAACAAAAGACAACTTTACTACATGTAGGACGGCATACAAAACTATACATGCAATAATTCCACAATGTGTTTCGAAATGAAATTGAATCCTCGAATTTTGACCTAATGAATGAAGTTTAGTTTACTTACTAATTGTAAATATTATCATTCCATTTAATTTAAATTTAAAGCCTTTTTTCAGTGGTCCAAATTTTGATATTTTGGTAGGAGGCTGAATTGCAAGATCATCTTCTGCATTAAACCTACCACCACTGACCTCTTTTACCTGGGTTGTAGTGTTCGTCTTATTTGCTAGATCTGCAAAAGTGTCTATACTTGACATTTTTGATATTCCAGATGTGGAGTTAATTCCATTTAGCCTGTATCCGCTATCGACTATTTTTCGTTCCGTTCGTATTTTGATCTTTCCATGATCATATTTCGATTTGGGTAGGTGGATATCCTCTGAATTGCTTTCCTCGACGCCTCCAGTTCCTTTTTGGTTTGGTGTTGTTTTTGTCTCTGATCTTCCACGAGTTCTGTCGTTGGGAATCGGTTGATTTAATTTTCCCGATTTACATGGTTCGTTGTTGATATGAAAGGTTGATATTGATATTTCACTTTCATATTCATTTAATAGTTCTTGAAAAATGGGTATCTTTTGTTTCTTATCTGCAAAGATTAGGATAATGTGTCCATTATTGTTCCCCGTCGTCATTAGTCCAGTCGGGGTAGATCAACAGTAAGACATGAAACCCGACTTCAATTCGATTATTGTTCAAAACAAAAGTATAACAAAACTATCTTTGTGTACAACTATAGCGATAGATTAGGTCTACATAATCAAGGGCATTATCGCGGGACCATCCGTCTTTTGGATTAAATATAAAGGTATCAACTGTAGTACTTTACACATCTTACCCGGAAAGATTATGACATTATTTAAAACAGCAACAGATATTGGCTGTTGGAACACCACAGTAATGACGAATTTTAAAATTTGATTTAAAAACAACTGAAATACATATAATATTGAATTTATAGTCGCAATTGGACAATAAAATGAGCAATAGGAAACGAGGAGTGGGTCCACAACACTCCCTGAAATGTGTACTAGAGGCTGGACAAACCGGTAGATCTGTGTAGCTGCTGGGTCAAACGATGCTGCCAGCGGAGAGAGTAGACATTAAAAGTTATTACAATTCCCGTACAACAGCAGCACAAAACAGACCTAGTTTGACATATAAGGTAGTTTATTCATCTTCATAACGATTCGATAAAGGGTTTTGAATCCAAAACGCTGTGGAGATGAATAAACCACCTCTCATGTCAACCAACGTCTGTTGTTTTACTGCAGTTGTGAGGAGAATGGGGGTAATTACCTAATAATAATTAACACATAACTTTACGTAAGTAAAAACAAATAACAAACCATTCCAACAATTAATTGTAATATAATTGGGTTCTTCAGCAGCTCCCATCGGGGCTTTCATGAAAACACCTGAACACAAAGTGTGACATGATAATTCAATTCCCAAATGTTACCAAATATTTTCTACAGGATAAGGAATTCAACTCGAGACCCATACACACGTAACTGAACTAAATCGTGTACACAGACAAACCGCGAAACGGGTACAGATCGCAAGCTTTGTTCCAAAACACAATTCAGGATTTAATTGATATTTGTGTGTTGACAACATCGACAATCCTTCGCCGATAAGATGTTATTAAGCCAAACATAACAAATGGTATCGATACTGAAAGATGTTCATTCGCTGAATACTGAGTTTGTTCCTGTTTTACATTCAGTCACCACACCAAGAATTAGTATTAATACTTGAATGCGGATATAGCTACCAAAACAGTTCCAAGTGATTCATCAGTTATTATAATGCTGCTGTTTAGGGTTTTAGTCATCCAGCTTTGTTGTCGAGGGCACGTGCACATATATCATAGTTAGTCATACATTACATGACTAACCATTTATTTAATCACTAAATATGACCAAATAATCACTGCACAGATTTTGGAAATATCTCATGGATATGTTTGTTTATACATATGGCAATACTGGACAACCAGTTATGGGTGAAATCAAATTTCTGATGTTGATATTTAATAAGGATAGTGGACAGTTTGCACGTTAAGGCGCATCAATAAGCTGGCACTGCAGTATGCTACGATAATTGCTTAACTTCCTCATAATTTTTCATATAACACGATATTAAGACCCCTTCATGAGCAGTTATATTTCCTGTTACCTAGAGGTAATCCATCGTTCGGTATTCGCATACAACCCCTTTAGCCTGGAGCTGGAATCAGCTATAACAGTATTGCGAACATCCCTTTTCTTTAGGACTCTATCCCGGGCTATATCTATCCACAAAGACCGATTGCGATCTAACTAAACGAAAAAAAAATAAATATACTAGTTCCACGGTGTTTCAATCTCTTTTTAGAGTTGATGATTGGATAGCCGCAGCTATCGCCGTCCGAGTCCCTTTCTGTTCGCCATCCATTGCTGCCTTCCAGACTAGTCATTTAATCGAGCATCATAGGATGATTGGAAAGAAAATCAATCGACTTTGAAAATATATCTCCCTATGATTTTGTGTCACAGAACATAAAATACATACATAATATAAAAACCTATTAATCAGTAAAACCAAAAGAATATCAAAGATGTATGTTATAATACTTAGATACATAGATACATACGTGATATCATTCCTTTATCCTCAGAAATGTCTTCCTCGACGCCGTCGTTTTCTTTCGGGTTAGATGTCGTTTCTGTCTCTAATCTTCGATGAATTCTGTCGCAGGGAATCGGTTGATTTACTTTTCCCCATTTACATCCTTCTTGCTTGAGATGAATGGACGACATTGATGAACTGTCGTTGTCATATTCCACAAACGTTTCTGGATGTAACGATAACATTATCTGAAAACTACTGACACGTACCAGTATTTAGATTTCAATTCATGACACCCTTCTCCTACAAAAAGAAACATCCCGTTTAATCTTGCTTGAAGAATTTGTACAATCGTCTCATGTGATAAGAAAAAGCTCATAAGATTACAGGAATTGAAACACTTCCTTCGAAATTAAAACTATCCTTCTGGTTTCATAGAAAATGGCATTAAACAAGCCTTAAAATAGATCAGGAAGTTTTATATTTCAAAACAAAAGAAAACAGAAAAACAATGTTTCCTCTCAGAAAGGACTTTCAGTTCGGATTATTATTTCAAAAGTTCAATGTCATTGTATGTCATTATAGGGCTATATGGCGTCATGCTTCTTTTAATGGGCTCATTTGACATTTTGATATCATCTTGGATTTTACAATTTTTTACCGCTTTCCGCTTTCACACACAAATCTCCACTATATGTTATATTTTTATTGGCCTGCTTATTCAATTCAACAAGGATGTTATTCAAATATCTATTATATTTTACACATGTGACGGCGTTAAGGAGCATAAAAGGTGTCTATTCATTTTATTCGTGGAAATCAGTGAGATGTTACAACAATAGTTAACGGACATAGAAGATGTTAATGCAGCCGTCTTAACGCCAGGTTCTCACTAGCTACAAATGTCGTACCGTTAAACTGTGTTTAACGCTACAATTGATACAGTCTAAAACTCCTTACGCAAGTTCAAACGCACAATTGTCAACACATATTATTAAAGTTTGTATTGAAATAAGTAATTCTATCAAAACTAGTGAAGACTGGACCACTAAAATAGTTATTGAACAGTTTTTTCTTTGTGGTAATGCGTTCTACATTTTCAAAGCGACATTTATTTTAATGTAAGCTGCCATAACACCAGCCAGGTGAAATCTCGCCAAATTTCGCGCAACAATTGGGTTTTATCAAATCATATAATTATGCGGTAAGACTTCACCTTGATTTCAATGGAAATTGGATTATTATATGTTAAGCTATGTGCAGTACAATTTGGGGTCAGTGTATGTGTAAATTAAGGGGGCTATGGGCCAGTAAACTTTTTGTAGTCAATTGACTAAAAACTTTGCGCAAAGGAACTACGTAGGACGAGCCACACTGTGGCTGGGGTAAAGCGGAAGACGTCAGTAGTGGAACCATTTCTAGGTTCTCACTATCACGATTCCCGCCAGGAAAATGCGTTTGCGACCATCAAACTTTCCAAATTCTCTTTCATTTTTTTTTTTTTTTTTTTTTTTTTTGGGGGGGGGGGGGGGTCCTATACGTCGTTTGTAACCCGAAATATTGTTCGGGCATATCAGGTTCTGCCCCTAACATTCATAGAGCCCGTACCCCTTTGATTGCCTGGGATTGGATGACTTTAAATAAAATCGGTGTCATCGCTTTCTATCCTTGGATTAATATATACGTGACATTGAAGTTATCGAGGTCAATATTAAATTATCTAAAACCATACGGAATTAAAAAAAGACACAACTTTACGATTAAAGGTTCCAAGCTTCCCAGTATAACTTAATACACTCTCTTCTCTTCTGATGGGCGATTTATCTACATAAGAGGCTTCTGGTTAAAACCATTCTGCTAGAATGTTTATGTCGAATTGACGTTAGACCGCTTCTCTCTTTATCTCTTTCTTTCAAGCAATAGAGGATGGCGGATACAGGAATTTTAAAGGGGATGGGATGCAACCGAGGTTGTTGCCAAGCGAAACTATGCTTTACCATTTTTCACAGAAAAAAAACCCACGACAAGTGACCTAAAAATGCAATTTGTTACATGTTACACGTGGAACAGTTTGTGACATTCTTTTCCCCGACATTTCCGTCAAAGAGCGGACACACTCTAGCGCCTTGGGGCTCAAAATATACAAATATACTTATTACGTTTGTTGTAATAATACTATATGGCTATACAGATAGATTCGGGCTAATAAGGCACCTTGCATAGTACTAAAAATTAGCCCAATTTTATAAAATAAGGTTGATGTAACTGGGTGCCCGATTGAAACAATTACCCAAATATGGTAATGGTCCTCCCTAATAGCTGACGTACCTAATTACAAACTTGTATATAAATTAAACCAGAGCGATTAAGGTTTTTAAGATATTATGCAGGGTGCTTAGTAGATCGTACCCACATCCCCTGAATATAGGGACCGGAATGGGTATCATCCTTTTAGGGCCCCCGGCTTAGAGGATGGCATAAACATCATGCAGTGTTCCTAGGGAGACATGATGTAGGGTTCTTAGAAGGACGTATACCCAAAGTCTCTGACTCGAGGTCGGGACCTATATTTACCTTATATTTAATGA